ACAGCCCAGCTTTGGCTTGCTGCTGTGGGCACGGTGAGCGCACGTGAAGGCAGTTAGAAAGGCATCGGGAAGGTCCCTGGGCAAGGGGTTGCAAAGGCGGACGGGTGGTAGCTGGGGATGCCCCCGGCGTGTGCAGACCTGGCTCTATGTACCAAGCCCAAAGCAGGCAGGAGCTACCAGAACCAGAAGTCAGCAGGGATTTCCCTGTATGGTTTTCCAGCAGATATGTACCAGGAATCTACCTGAAGGATGCCTGGAGACAGGAAGATTTCCATCTCTGGTTCTCTCTCCTGCTTGCCAGTAAGTTACAGATCCGTATCTGATAACATCTGTAGCCTGGCACACCTCTATATTAACCTAGATGAGCCCTGCCACTACTCCCAAATGAGGCTGACTCATTTTGTGCAGCTCCTTAAGTACAGAACTGGAGCCAAAGGCTCAGGGAAGAAGCTTGAAAAGACCCCAGAAGAGGTCTGTGAGCAGCAGGAGTAACAGGAGGACTGATGGGGGCTGCAGCGGGTATTGCTTTAATCCAGGACAGAAGTTAGTGGAGGAATTGAAACCTCTCCAGAAGCAGCAAGGGCCATCGCCTCGCTTGAAAAACAAGGAGAAATCCAGTTGCTTGAAAATAACTCCATGGGCAAAGCAAATGCAGCCACAGAAATCAGAGAAGGAGAAGTAGCATTATGTCATCTCACCTTTCCTTCTGGCCAGTCACTGGCCTGATTTCCTATTCTCTTGTGCTGCTTTAAAATGACTTCAGCAACTTGGTCTCTGCTCGTTCCCATGGGAAACTTCCACAGTCTATAGATTTCACTGGTAGGAAACTCTTCTTGACAGTCAGACTATATTTTCCTTTACTCAATTCCATCACATCACTCCTACTTACGCCTCCTTGGAGCACCCTAAACGCTCTTCGCCACTGAAGTCGGTGGAGTTATGCGGGCAGTAAATTTGGCCTGTGGCACTTGGAGAAATAGATATTAAACCCCCAGGGATGAATTAGGGGGCGAGGGGAGGGAGGGCAGTGGGGGAAAGGAAATGGTTTCAGGTTGAGAGAAACAAGATCTCCTCTTACATCTGTACAGCGGTGCTGCCCTGCTGGGAGCACGACCGGGACTCGGCAGCAAGATGCTGTGAGAGGCAATGATGTCCCTGCGATGTCCTTGAGCACTGGTGTGGTTACAAAGCCACATCTGAGGGCTCAGGGGCTGTACGTGGCACTGGGACTCACGGGTTGCATAAAGCTCTGGGCAGTTCCCTTGCTGGTGGCTGACCTGGTTTGAGGCCCAGTGATGCTACACACAGTCACCCTCCTGCCTTTCAGCCCAGGGTGGCCCGTTTGGCTGTCACTGGGATGGTGCCTGAGCTGGTCCAGCAATCCCAATCCATGTAATGCTGCAGGCTGTTAGTGCTGTTCTGCATTTCTCAGGACAAAATCCCAAATTCCCTGGGCCCTTTCCCTAGGCTCTTACCTCACTATCGTGACATTAATATGAGTCCAGCAGATGTGTGCAGTGATGGAGCCGCTGCAGTACACAAGGAGAGGAGGATAAGGTGCATAAGATCTCTACATCAGCAATCCTCAGCTCCCCTCTGCTCCCAGCAGCCCAGGGTGCACTGCAAAGGACATGCATGGCAGAGAGGAAGAGAGGGGACAGCACTGAGGACTTCATAGAGTGGAAGAAGTGGAATAAAGGCATGAAGGATCTCTCTTTGTGGGACCCATGGCTGAGAAACATCTCCAAGTACTGCAAAAGACCAGTAAGGACAAAAAGCCCCACTACAGATACATATGTACAGAAGACACACAACAGTGCGCAGAAGCCCCATGCTAAATCCCAGCATCTCAGTGTGTGAGGTGCTGTGTGTTCCCAAGAAAGAGGTGGTGTTGGCTGGTCACTGCACTGCAGGGTTATGCTCCAGAATGCCTTGTTTTCCCATGAACACGCACTTGATTAACATCATGAATTACGGTTCTCCCCACTGAACTGTGACTGTGCCAGGAAAATGGCATCCTGTCTGGACTGGGACCAAGAGTACCCTGACCTCATTTTGGGTACCTGCTCCTATTTATCGCTCCAGCAGGACTGGATCCTGCAGCTCTGTAAAGAGCTGTGTGTGCCCCATCACTGACATACAAGTCTTTGGAAGAGAGGAAGATGCTGAGCATTTCAGAACTGGCCTGTTCAGTGGGAGGTAAATGGAAGTGAATATGGATTTTCCAGTTGGGAAAAGGTAAAGCAACCAGGTGAAAGTCAGCATTGTGCCAACAGGGTGGGATCAGCACTGGGAGATGCTGCCTTGTGTCAGACTCCAAGAAGATGCTGGAAAGCCCATGACACAGGGCATGTGGCCTGGGAAGAGCCATCCAGGGTGGATGCTGGTCAGGTAAGCCTGCAGACCTGACGCTTCCTCTGTCCGTGCTGGGTTCTTTGGTCATCTCAGCTTGGAGATGTTCTGGTCCTCTGCTTTCTGCCCTGTTCTGCAGAGCTGGGCACTTCCATCGCAGTGGTGCTCCACTGAGTGCCACCATCAGGAGCTTCCCAGTGCCATCTGTGTAATAAAACAAGCATCAAGAAACAGCATCCAGAGGCTGTACTGATGCAGCTCCATTAGTTTATTGATTAACCAGCCAGCAAGACAGCCACTATTACGATTCAAAAGCTCTGCAGCAGCAGCACGGAGCAAACCCATCCTTGTGTTCCTGTTTGTTCCCATTTCTTTCCAACCCCAGGTTCTTCACTGTGTAGCCCCATTGCTCTGTTTCCTTCATCAGTGGGGCACAACACGTGCTCCTGCCATAACTGCTGTTTAACTAATGGCAAGAGGCAGAAGCAAGCTGGAGGCCTGCTCTTGAGGTGGCAGCAGGTACAGAGGAGACCCATGGGTCAGAATGGAGGATGGAGCCACAACTGGTTCTCAACCCACTCATCCAAACCTGCACCCCCTGCTCCAGGGAGAGCTCAAAGTGGGCTCATCCCTCCTCCTGACCCACCGTTGCTCGGATGCTGTTTCTGATCACTTACCCATTTACCATTCCTAGGGAAAAAATCCAACTGTTGAAGATACAGTTCCAGTAAAACCTGTCTTGGGGCTATTTTTCTTAAAGCCAGTCCAACTTTTACAACCTACAGCTGACATACATTAAGGGCTTAAGCCAAACTTTCTGTGACATTTTGTTGATGTTATCCTGGCTGGTGCTGGTGGATGTAAGGAACAAGGAGAATTATTCCATCTGAAGGGTTTTCCTCTTACCTCATGGGTGTAGAAACTCGCAGTGGTGCAACCCGTGTATGGAAGCAGCAGTGTGCAGAACACTGAGTAAAGGGGTGAGTAAACCTGGGTCTGGGAGAGACAGCCTGTGTCCCTTGTGGAGCGATCGCTGCCTGCAACTGTGATTCATGCATTGCCTGGAAGTGTCCTCTTTAATTCCCTTCACAATTACCAGTCTGGGCCAGCTGGCAGAGCTCTACCAGCACACACAGAGGGAAACTAGAAAGCAGCTCCTCCTGCATTTCAGCTCTGCTTGGTTGGTATCACCCTTCACACCACTGAGAGCCCAGCAGTGCCGTTTATCTTATCTAATAGCAGAGAACTGCTTTGGAGTTGATGGCTCTTTGACTCTGGAGCTGCAGCACAAAACATCTCCTTTCTTCATCCCCAAATCTGGTCCCAGAAAGGATGGGGACCAGCGGCACTGATGCTTATGGGCTTGGGTGGCCCAAGCACTGTTCTTAGCTCTCCGTTAATCCACTGAGCAGCTTTTAGAGGACCCATCCACCCCTCGGGGTCTTATTTCCCCTCCCCGGTCTGCCTGGTTTCATTAGTTTGTAAAGTCTAGTTTATAGCTTGGGGTTATTTTACAAGACACTCAGACCACAGCCAGCGTGAGCGGAACAATCCGCTTCTTGTGAATGGATGTAAAGCTGCTATCAGTCAGCATCATGCTATCGCTTCTGACACACAAGGAAATGGGAAGGATCCCAGAGCTGGTGGTGTCATGGAAAGAGTCTCTTTGGCCAAATGCTCTCATCTCAGTGTTCATGGGCCGTTGTGCTGTGTTTGGTATCTATGTGTTGCTCCCAATACATGGACTGTGACAGAATGTACAGCTTGGGGTTTCAGCAAACACAGTGCTCATGGATAAGCCAGTGCGCATCACAATAGGTAAATCCAAGTACTTTGGGGAGGAAGAGGAGGAGGAGGAAATGACTGAGATGCCCCCAACACCGGGATTCCCCATTGCCCGACCCCGAGCTGGCAGTTCCCTGCAGCCATGGAGGGGAGCGGGCAGTGACATCAGGAGTATGTGGGTTTCCGCACTTCCCTCTCTGTCCTGCAGCCTCCAGAGGAAGGATGCGGCCATCGCACCGGGCTGTGCACTGTCCGCAGGTAGGGCTAATGCAGTGAGGGCACTGAGGGATAGGTGGAGCAACAGGGATAATCCCGAGGTGCACTATCTTGTCCTACGGTTCCTCTCCGCGCTGCACAGCCCGCAGCCCTATGAACCCTTCCGTCTGGCAATTAACCTCGGTGTTTCATCATTCAGTCTCGTTCAGGGAGAAAGCCACGTGTGACCAACATTCCCCAGTGGAAGCCCTGCGGGGTAGACTCAGCCCGAGGGCGCTCCCCGAGCCTTGGCTCGCCCCGTCAGCGCCCCGCAGCCCCGCCGCGCTGTGAGCTCCGACAGCCTCGCTCCTTGCCACCGGCAGGTTCCCCATCGCCATCACCGCGCCCCTCGGGTCCGCGCCGGGACAGGGCAGGCGGATGGAGCCGCTGCCCCGACGGTCCGAGCCGCGGGGCTCACCCTCCCGCAACCGCTCAGCCAATCAGCGCCTCCCCTCCCATTCTTCGCCCCGCCCCTTCTCGCTTCTCCCTCTTCTGATTGGCTCTTCCGCCCGGCTCATTATACGGCGGAGCGCGGCTGTGATAGGCTGAGGGCGCTGTCCATCGCCGGCCCCGCCGGCCCGCCCCTGCCGCCGCCTTTGCCTGCGCTGCCGGGCGGCGGGAGAGCGGCGCTGAGGCGGGCGGGCAGCGCCCTGCGCACACGGTCCCGGGGCCGCGCGGAGCTCGGGGGTGCCCATGCGGTGCCGGGCGGAGGCGAGCGGAGCCGGGCGCGCTCCAGCCATGCATCCCTGCGCGCCCGCGGGCACATGGGGCAGCGCTTGAACCGCTGCCTCGATGTCCCCGTGGCGCTGCCGCCGCTGAGGCGGAGGCTGCTGCTGCTCTTCATCATGCTCTTCCTCTGGCTCTACATGTTCTACTCCTGCGCCGGCTCCTGCGCCGGGCTGGCCGCCCGCGGCTCCCCCGCGCCGCCCCGCGCCGCCCCGCCGCTGCTGGGGGAGCCGGGCGAGGAGAGCAGCCTGGAGGAGCAGCGGGCAGCGCCCGACGCCGCCGGCCCCATCTCCAGCTTCTTCAACGGCTCCGGCACCAAGCGGCTGCCGCAGGCCATCATCATCGGCGTGAAGAAGGGGGGGACGCGGGCGCTGCTGGAGTTCCTGCGGGTGCACCCCGACGTCCGCGCCGTCGGCGCCGAGCCCCACTTCTTCGACCGCAACTACGAGCGGGGACTCGCCTGGTACAGGTACGGGACGGGCTGGGGCGGGCGGCGGGGACGGGCGCTGTGCGTGTTTCCCCCGCGGGCTCCGGCGCAGGTCGCGCAGTGCCCGCGGCCGAACGCGGACGTTCCGCTAAATGCGGACCCCGAAAGATCCGCGCTCGGACCGTGGCTCCCCCGTTAGTCTAAGCGGCGGGGTTGCGGGCTTGACGCTGGCCAGACCGTATTTAATCGTTAAATAAAGGTTAGATATTAACGCAGTATACGTGGGGTTAACGCTTATTTCGTTGTGCTTCTGCTGGAGCTCGGGGAGCGCCTTCGGTCGCGGCCGGAGCGGTGCGTGCGGAGCCGGGGAAAAAACTTTCCTCGCTGGCTTCATGCGCTCCGTCCCCGTGGACGTTCCCCCGCCGCTGTAATCGGCGGCCGAGCCGGTCACTTCGCAGGGCGGCTCGGACCGAGGTAGCGGGTGCGTGCGGTGCCGCAGCGGGTGCTGCGGGACGGGATGCGGCTCCTCAGCTCCGGGGTAGGAAAACCCAACGGCGGTGGGTTCTGCCCTTGGAAGGGTGAGTGTGGGAGTGCTTCTGGAGGAGCAGGGACTTGCGTGGCTCGGTGGGTTCGCGGCTCTGGTGGGAGCCGCCTTAACGTGGCTTCTCCTCCCTTTATGATTAAAGTTCCCTCATTAAGAGTCTTTTGACCGTGCCTTTGTGCGAGCGCTTGCAGGAGCAGAGATGGGAACTTAGAAGCGAGATGCGAGCTGTGAAGTTGTGAATTTCAACCGCTTTATAGTCCTGAAGTTCCCACTCCGCGACTCTGATTAGGTTTGGTCTCGTTGTTACCGCTGCCATCCCTCGGCAGTTAGTGCAGCGAATGCAGGATAAGATGTGGCGAGGAGAAGGTCGTTCTGAAAGCACTTTGTTTAATGAAAATATAGAATTTGGGTGGAGTGGGGCACCCCGTAGCCACCAACACAAAATCTGTATGAATTCGGTCTAAAAAAACCCATCTTAATGTCCCATTTTGGAAGGAAAACTTGCAAATAACAGAGCCCGAGACATGTCAGGATTTATTAGCAAAATGGTCTTGTACGTGTTGAGCTCTGTTTTTAATTAGGCGCCTAAATTAGACCATAAAATGGTTGATTAATCTTTTACAAGTAAGAGGTGGAAGGGGAGAAGGAGAGAATAATGCTTATGATTACGTTAATCTGTTATCCCAGATGCAGCGGGCGAAAGTCAGTGTTTAAAGAATCCGTGTTATTTTTACATTTGGAGAAGTTGGCATCAAAGTTTCGTGGAACTTTGGAGAGTTTCACCTTAATTTTGAGGGAACATGGGCCCCATCCCTGGAAACGGGCTGCTGCTTTATAAAATGATATCTTTGCAAAGGAGGGCTTTTGAATTGAAATACAACGAATCTGAACAGGGTCGCTCCAAAGCAGTGAGCATGAGGGATGCTGAATGTCTTGAAACCACCCCGAGGGTCCGAGTCTCTGTGTGTCTGTGGGACTGGGACCCCGCTCGACTGGGAAGACTGAATAGTGCAGAATATATGGGGGGAGAGGAGGTATTTGCTCAAATCGACAGACAAGTTGTTGGTAATTGTGTGTTATTTCTAACTTCAGTTTGTATTAGATGCAGGAGTTTGTGCCTATAAATCTCAGCGCTACAAATCAGATACTATAAAGCTCCAAACTCCCACTGACTGCAGTGAATCTTGGCTTCCCAGCGCTCTCGAGAGCGTGCTTCTTTCTCCAAGCTCTAATGAGGCTTTTATTTATTATCTTCATGTCAATAAGGAGATGCGTTTGTGTTTTCTTGTTAATGGCCCAATAAAACCACATTAAAAATGCTATAAAAGAGCCTCCGTGCCAGCCGTGCTGGGGCGAGCTGGGCAAGCCTCGCCTCTGCTTTTGAGATGCTTTCACACAAACGGACTGAACTTTTGGGACCGGGGCAGATCCTTGTGTCCTCAGCACCCAGTCCTCGAAGTTTAAATCCAACCCCCTGGCTTTGGAAAGATGAAGATGCAATTTTAGAGCCACGTCTTGTTGAAAGTATATTTTATTTGACCAGATTCTGGCTAAATTGGGTCATTTCTGTTTGGAGTTTTTGGTTTGTCGTTGAAGTTGTTCCTGCCATATAACAGTGTTCCAAAGTAACGTTTTTTTTTCCTGGTTTTGGGAGGCAGAAAGCATCACAAATTTGCTTATTTAGCTTCTGGTTTAGGGTTTTTGCAATTAATCACATTTAGACACAGAGCAGTAGTTAACATAAAGCTTTCATCTATAGAAAATAACTTTTAAAGGAGGGAATACAGACTTTTTTCTTGCTCTATTTTCTGTCAAGTGAAATGAAATGTGTTTGCTTTTATTCCCTTGGTGTAGAAGACAAAACAGCATCAACAGCACCAACCTCTGTTCCTAAAAAGCAGAAGGAAACATTACATTAATTTTTCAATAGTGAGATAACTGGAAATCGAATGGAAACAACTTCTGTCCGCACATTGCAGGCTTTTTCCCCCCTGGTAATGAATATAGCATGTTAACTGCTTCGAGTGGAAATATGTACCATGACAGGGGAGAAACGGGATCCAGCCACTATTGCAAACTCATTTTAAGTAGTGCTTGGGACTTTTGGATAGGGAAGAAGTTTTCCCCTTCCCAGCAGTAGGAGTTCAGCTCCTCCGTAGCCTATGCACGAGTGTCCGGCTGCCCGGACAAATGGGAAGTTGTTTCCTTCCTCTATGAGTAAAGTAAAGGTTTCTTGTATGAGTTATGGGGGGGGAAGTGTTCCTTGCAAGTCTGGAAAATGGTGATTTTTTGAATTATTTAATTTATTTCATGCCAACAGTGATGCATTTTTAAATGTTCTCGGGACTTGAAAGCCCGTTCTCCTATAATTAATCTACGGTAAGGGAAAAAATCCAGTGTCATTAGTATTATGTGTTTTGGGGTGGGTTTTTTGATTGATTTGCTTTATTTTTAACCATTTTAAGCCCAGTGAGCTGTAGTGCCCCATCCTTCCTGCCGTGGGCTGAGCATTCCCAGCCCCACTCAACATCACTGATTTATATTTCAAGGCTGTAGCTCTCTGCTAGCAAACCCCGTGCCATGGCTACGCCAGCAGAAAACTCGATAACGGTATTAGTCTGAGCTCCTCCACCTCCCGCAGCACTGTGGGACCTCTCTGTCCTTTTTCCCCCCCTTTTTTGCCTTAAATTTACTATTTGAATTCTTAAAACCCAAGGGTTTCATCTTCCCGCTCTGCCAGGCTGCCTTAATTCATTCTCCATGCTGAGGCTGGGTGAGTTGGCTCAGCAGGATCAGGCCCTATGGTCTGGTGGCGTGCAGTAAACAGCTTCAAACATGCGTTTCTCAGCCTCCCCAGTCACTGGGGAGCTTACTATGCAGCCTGCTGCTTCACAGCAATGCCTGAATCATGAGAAACTGCCTCGTTTTTTATCTTTGATTCTGCCCCAAAAACCTCTTTTTTTTTGCCCCAAGGAGCATGGGGGTGTGAATAGCACAGTGTTCATGCTCACAATGGGCCATGGTGGGTGCAGGGGAAGGATAAGGAAACGATGGTTAAAGTTCTGGGGTGAAAGCCTTGTGGAACAGAGGGAAATCTGGAGCAAGGCAGGATCGTGCCCTGGAGTTTGGCCGTTCTCTATAGTCTCCACTTTGCAGCAGTAGTGAGAGTTTAGTAGCTGCCACCTAACTGTGCCGACACAGCCAAGTGCTTGCAAAACTCAACATGTCACAAGGTTCATTGGCCTCGGGAAGTTTAGGAACGGTCTTGGTTCTCCCAACTGGACTTTGGGTGCAAACGACTGTATCTGAGCAAGGAGCAGCTCCTCACATGCGTTCTCATGAGCTACGTCAGGTTGGAATGAGCGTATCCTAAAGGACCATTGTGTTCTCTGGGATGGCTTTGCCAAGCAGCTTTCCCATTAAGATTTGGTTTTCTTGTTGATTTTTAATGTCTGTTTTTATATCTATTGACCTTGCACGTGTTGCATTTGAATGGGGACTTCTAATGGTCCCCTCAACACATGTGCAGTGTTCCGTACCCCCTTGTCCATAGCGCTGGCTCCCCATGCTGTTGCCTTTAGCCACTCGGCGCAGTTCAGAAGCAAATGGCCCCCAAAAAGAAGGGCTGGGCTGCTATAATCAGTCAGCAAGGCCCTTGTGTTTGCATGGGCTCATTCCTTTAGATCTGAGGAGGGTTGAGTTGTTCAAACAGATGGCAAAGATTATTCGTGTTGCTGGGGTTTCAGCGCGCTCTGCTCCGTTTCAAGCATGTTGCCCGATATGACGCATGTGACAAGTCCTTCCCAGCACGACGCTGGGAAGGGGGGGAACGACATTGTCTGCCGTGATCGAGTTTCATGGCCTCACCTGTTGAGCTGCTGAACTATTCCAAGTTGACCATGCATTGGGGGTGACTTATGGGGATGGTGGATCTGCCCGGCTAATCGCGTTAGCGCAGCGCCGCGCGGCGTGCATGGGGAACGTCGTGTGCGCCTTCTTGGCATGAAAACGATGGGAATGAAAACCCATGGGCTTGACTCTGGCTATGGGATTTAGCGTTTTCTTTCTTTTCAAGTGGCCCATGGCAGATGGCTGTAACACACCCCGAGCTTTGGATACCTCGAGGCGCTTCCAGTGAAGGCTTTGTTTCTAAAGGCATCCAGCAAGCCTTTATGCGGTGGCTATAAAAACTACCCAAATCATCATGCTTTTTGAGCTGTATTTTCAACCACGCATGATCATGGACTTGTCTTAACATCAGGCTTCACTTGCTAAACTGCTTTGCTTGCTGGATTCAATGCTATTAATCCATCCTAAGGAGGAAGAGAAGTCTGATTTAGCAACCATTCAGCGTTCACGTCTTCTGGTGGTGCGACCATGGGTGATCAATGGGCTCAGGGGATAATGAATGGGCAAGGGCCATGCAGGAGGGTTAACATATGGGCTCAAAGAACAACAAATAGCAGGGCATGTTATTTCAGTGGTGTAATTAGGAGGT